AGATGTCTGTAGTGGAAATAGCCATGCCAGTGACATTTACTACTCATCAAGTATCCTTTGCCCACCCACACTTCCCACTCTTTTGCAGTTAGGAGGGGCCCCATGGAGCTCTGGACAATACACTGCAAGCAGAAGTGGCTTTTTTTTCCCTGCCAAGAGGAAGCACTAAAGAACTAGCCTGTGATCCACAGGCTCCCATCCCCTCATGCATAAACTGAGGCATCTACATGTTCTAGGTTGTGCAGCTTCAAAATGGCAGAGCCTCCATTAGTTTGCATGCCTGGACAATGTGGGCTCAAATTCAATTCTTTCATACGTTGGCTTAGTAATCTTAGACATGTGGCTTAACATCTCTGGGCCTCAGTTTCCTCAATTGTAAAATTGGTATAAAAACAGTACCTACCTCAGAAATTTGTTTAAGGTGGCACAGAGTAAGCACTCAGTAAATGCTATTATTATTAATAATCTCAGAAATAATAAGAAAGGTCACATAAATACATTTAAACTTTTTTCTCTTTTTTAAAAAATGAAGCTAAGTCTGAACATTTAAAAAAAACAGCTAATAAATATTGTCATTTACACTCTTACTTCTGTGTCTTTTTTCCTGTGATGGCTTGCATGGCCAACTTCTTAGCCAACATTCTGCTTTAAAAGGTCTATCACCACCACATTTTCAGATTACAAATAGCTTAGCACATCTTAGTTTTCCTTTTTTAAAAAGAGTATCTTTTCAGGAGAGAATAAGAATAAGGACACTGATTTACTGTGCCACTTAGTGAATATCTCCAGAAAAGACTACAATGTGTAAAAGATTGTAATGAGAAGAAAGGGAGGAGTGGTTTTCAAAGTTTTGACTCTGAAATAAGACGTCCAAAAAGATTAATAAAATTCAGTTCTCTGACTTAATGTCATGCTTCATACCACATAGTTATTAAAAACTTCAGCACTGATAAAGCAATAAGAAATTTAGAAAGCAACGGTGGTGCCCAAAGTTGTGTGTGTATCTCGATGTTACCCTAAACATTATATCTAGTGGCTAAATAATTCTATTTTTACACTGGAGTGAGAGTGAAGTAATTTTGCTTCTGCGATTATAAAAAGTTGAGAAAGCAAATCAAGGCTATGTTTTCTGCGTAAATTCTAACGTAAAACGACACTGATTAAGCTTTAAGCACACATCTAAGGTGGGCGTAACGTGGAGGGCACAGCCATTCCTTCCAACCAGAATGTCTCTCTATCCCTGGCCCTCTGGTGAGCCCCTCTTTCACCACCCTAACGCACTTCTCTCCAAGCCTTTCTTTTCCTCCTAACTTGCCCCCTCACACGCAGAAGTAGCCAGTCACTCCTTCCCCCGGGTTCCCTCTAGAGCTGCACAGACCCCGTTGTTGACCTTCAGACCATGTGTGTTTGTCTGTCTCTCTCCCGACTATGAAAGCAGGATTTATGAATACACCCGAGTCCCCAATACCAAAGACAGCTCTCAAATTTCAATGGAACACTACAGAACATGCTGTCCTAATAGTTGAATATGAAAGTTGCTAAGAATACACTAAATCTTAAAAGTTCTCATCACAAGAAAAAAAATTTTGTACCTATGAATGGTGACAGATGTTAATTAGACTTATTTTATGATCATTCCGCTGTATATATATATAATATTGAATCATTATGTCGTACCCCTGAATCTAATATAATGTTGTATGTCAATGAAAAAATAAAAGTAAAACAAAGAGTTGAATATGTAGACAATAGATTAGACTGTATAAACACATGGTATGGATTCATTTTGCTATTTTAATTCTACACTCAGGACCTTCTATTTTAGCAGGGGCTTCTATTTTAATGAATTTTGCATGAGTCCTGTTCCTCCACCAAACAGTGAGGTGCTAGGATACAGCAATTTTATATCATTTATCCAGGTAAACCCTGGCATCACTTTAGGGGGAAAAAAAAGCTTTAAAGGCAGCAAGTACCATTTGCTGAAATTAATTTAAATTGTTGTGGCAGACCTAAGTACTAGGTGACTCATTCATTAACAAGTGAAGTTAGGCCCTCACTGAGTCATGTGATTCTAATATTTGTTACTGATACAGCCAATATACTTAAATCATTAATTAGACCAGTCACTCATGACACTATGATGCTGAGGCTAAGCCCAACAAATTATCAAAGTGCCAGAAAAATTGTAACAGCCTTTCTGGAAAGCTGGTTTACTATAACACTACAGATTGTGTTGAAACTATGTAGATTTCCTTTTTAAATTCCCATTAAAATCATAATCTTCATAATTCAGCATCAGCATCAAACTCTCACCATTAACATTTCCCCCAAACCCATTAATTTAGCGACCTCTTTAGAAACCTAAAGTATTAACCTTCCCCACAATTTTTATAAAATTATTGTCCTTCTATCATGTGCAATAATTTTCCCACCTACGCACTGAGATACTTTGCAAAACACTGAGAAGTTGCTTAGTGATTCATCTTTAGCATAATATAAAGTGGAAGCATAATGAAAAGGTTGAAACTTGGTTGTTTCCAGAGATTCTAAATAATATTCAGATACTGTTCATTCACAGAAATGTAACTCACTGAGCATTTTCCTTTCTATTTTTTTCTTTTTGGTCTTCGTAGTACCAAATGAGGAAAGACAAAGATGTCTGATCTGACCTCTCATGATATAGGTGGATAAAGCCAGTCACTAGACTCAAAAACAAATACTGTTGCCACTTATCAGCCACGTGGCTTTGGAGAGCTCACTTCATATTGTTAGACTCAGTTTCTCCACCTAGAACGTGGTAATGTGCTCCTCCCTCTTTATTGTACAAAAGAGTTTGTCAAGGATTTACTAAGACAATATATGTAAAACATGCCCTAAAATCACTAAGAAAAATACAAAAATAAATCATATAAAATATGCAGAGAGGCAAAAAATATACCAAACATTTTCCCTGTCCATAAGAAATTTATAATTTCAAAGTGAATTTTAAGAACTCATACTGATGAATGAATAATGGAGTCCCGTCAACGGGTAGAATCATATCACAGACATGAAGCTGTAGAGCATCTTCAGTAATGGCTAAAAGGCCAGGGTGAGAGAATTATGGATAACTCAAGTGCAAAGCAAAATGAGATCTGGAGCCACACAACCAGAGGAACATGTTTTGGTGATGAACAAAAGAGTGTTTCATGCTTTGAGAAAATACTGGCTTTTATAACACCTATGAGGCACCTATCGTTCAGTTTCAATGGTGCGATCTAGTATAGTGCAACAGAGAAATATCATTTCAAAAATATCTTGAGTTCTTTACTTGCACTTATTAACACTGTGATCACAGCAAAACTTTGTTAAAATTTCTTATTTTTATTCATTCCTCAACACTTAACCCACAGAGCACAGCAGTCCTGGGGAATATTTCTTATTCACCTGGAAATCACCTACTCTGGCTAGAAACAGCCTATAGGTATGCAACCCCTCTTTTTCACCACAAAGTTGGAGGTCCAAGCATCTGGGAACACAACTCCCCCACCACTGTCATGCCACTGCCTCCAAATGACAACAACACCAACGGCCTCCTGCCCCTAGGCCTCTGGGAAGTACCACTTGTCTTCTGCTCCCAATGTTTTTTCTTGTGATAATTGCGACAAACATCTCTCCTGTCCTCATCATTTCTATAGGGATGGGAGAAAGTTGTATACTCCATGTTAATAATTTTTATCCCATCATTTTTACTTAAGGTTAGATTTAGTATAGTGAGTTGAAGGTTCCAAATTTGGGGAGGGCAGAGAAGACTGGCTCAACATTCAACGGGGGAATGTGAGCAGGCAGCCAGGACAGAGTTGCTATGAGGCGAACACATTGATGGGGACTCCGTGGTTTATTTGATTCCAAATATTCTGATGGGTGAAATTATCAAAAAGTAGCCAGACCCACTATATAACTTTGAACTTTGAAAGGAAAAATAAATGTGTATGTGAGCTTTGCTTCCCATGTCTCTTAAGCATGGATCTTGAAACCTTTTTCAGGAGTTCTGGCAAGGCACCATAAACTTTCAGACATCCTTAACCAAATCTCTTGTTCTCTCTCTCTCTTAATTAAGACTTACAAAACATTTAGTATTTTGCCTGGCATTATTCTTAGCACTTTAAGTATATTAAATAATTTAATTTTCACAAGGCTATGAAATAGTACTAGCAATATCCCCATTTTTGTATATGACAAAAACAAGGCACCAAGAAACAAGTAACTGATCCAAGTGGGATAGCGAGGGTTCGAGCCCTGGTGCTGGTTTCAGAATCCAAGCTCTTAGGCACTACGTTATCTTGCCTCCCAATTAATGATTCAGTCTTGGGAAGGGTGCCCGTGGAGCAGGAACATAAATATTCAAAGAATAAAAGAATAAGGAGAAAGTCAGGCATATTACAGAAACCAAAGGAGGAACAATTTCACGGAAGAAGTTTCAAAATATGTCAATGTACAGAAAAGTCAGCAAAGGGTCCATTGGATTTGGCAACCAAGGAGTGACTAGCGACCTATTCCAGGTCAGTTTCCGTGGTGTGGAGGGACAAGAGCCGGAGTGCTCGATGGGCTGGAGTGTGGAGAGGGTTTACTCAGAGAGGAAGGAAGCACAAGGAAGGAGAAATGGTGCATCTCCTTGAGATAGAATATCATCATTGCAAAACACGTATTTCCCTTCCTGTTTCTTCTCTTCTCCATTCCATTGTTAACACATTTCCAGGGAAGAAGAGATAGAATAATGAGGCCTTCAGTGGTGTGGACATCAGGCATATGAAAGGCTTAAGGGAAATGCTCTGTTCGCAGAGCTTCTCATTATGGATGGACTGAGGACAGGGCTGCATCTATGAAGAGATGGAGGAGCAGGCCACCTGTTGACCTACACCCTGCTGCTCCAACCTTTTTTTCACCACTGGGACAAGCGGGCTGTGACACAAGCTCAGTTCAACCCACTCTAAAAAGTGCGAGATGCAATAATCTGCGAGGTACACACTTCAGCAGCACCTATACTAAAATTGGAATGATACAGAGAAGATTAGCATGACCCCTGCATGAGAATGACACACAAATTCATGAAGTGTTCCATATTTAAAAATAAATAAATAAGTAATCCATAAGGTCCCTTGCATTTTTAGGTTCTATGACCCTATAAGTATCAACCTAAGTATAGCATTGGCCAAAATACCCAACTGCTCCATCACCATAACTTCCCTTTTCTAACATTAATTCCCACAGTTACAGGGCTATAAAAGAAACTCACTGCCAAAGCCAAAGCAGTTCATGACACCAAATGTGCTGAGAGAGAGAAAACAAGTTCAACATCTCTGGCATTCTTTCTGGGTCACCCTGACACACTGGGCAGAAAGAGAGTTCCAACAGCCATAGTTTAGTGATCAGAACGTCAGCTTGTAAACTATAAGCCTAGAAGTTTTATTCAGAGTGTTATCTGCTACAAATAAAAAATAACAAAGCTTTCATGTTAAAAAAATATCCTTTACCTGCCTCTGAGTTATATTTAATGATGTGACCTAAGCATTGTATATTGCAAAACTTCCACCTCTGCCCCTTGAAATATCTGTACATAAAACTACATCAGCAGGCCGCAGATACAGGCCAAGTGGTTCACCAAAAGTTACAAAGAAATGGAAAGAAAAATTAAAATAGAAAAGGGAAGTTTTTATTCTCTTTTGACAAAAATACTGAGAGCATTTAAATGTCAATGACCTTGAATATAGAAAATTAAAGAAGCTCTTCTACTTGCAATTGAAATGGCCTTTCTAAATTTCAGGGAATTAAAATAAATAATAGCCCTGGCTGGTGTGGCTCAGTTGATTGAGCACTGGCCTGCCAGCGAAAAGGTTGCTGGTTTGATTCCCGGTCAGGGCACAGGCCTGGGTTGTGGGCCAGGTCCCCAGTTGGGGGCATGTGAGACACAACTGATTGTCTCACACATCGATGTTTCTCTCCCTCTCTTTCTCCTTCCCTTCCATTCTTTCTAAAAATAAATAAATTATATCTTTTAAAAAAATAATTAAAATAAACAAAATAAATAATATATATGCAACATACCACACTATTTAAAGTAGAGGTTTACTTTTGTGTGTCTTTATACTACTTTGAAAGTTGTCAAAACAAAATTATAAACAGTGACATTTTCCTGTTATGTCTCATTTCCCAGATTAACTAGATTTTTATTACAGGAAAACAATATGTGCCAGATTCAAATGCATAATAATTACTTAGTGTCTGGGCTGTCGTGATAACTCGGTGGGCTATAACCTAAGTTTATAAACATATACTAAAAGTTCAAACCTAACACTAAAGCCGGTCAGTTTCTTTTCAGTGCCCGTCCGTGTCCTGTGAACATGTGCCTCTCACTATGAGAAGGGGAGAGGAGAGGGGCTGGACAGAGCATCACAGCCAATGCTGTTACTGCCAACAGCAATTCAACGAGCACCCTCTACGAGCAGTGGGTCAGACATCATGATCCCTGTGTATAAAAAGCAGATCAGGGTAATATTTCATAAAGTATGGCCTCAGAACCAATATTCAATGCTACCTTACTGATTTTGATTATAATAATCCAAGTTCCTGGAAATCAGTTATTCAGATTGGTAAAGTTTCTCAATAACAAGAAAAATGTCTTTATTTTGATCTCTCTCAAATTCCACTTTTGTTGTATCTCCTCCATGGGCATGTGTAGCTATGGCTTATCTTAAAACATCTTGTAGGGCCAATTTTATACTTTACTGGGTTAGTTCTTACAATATTATGAATCCATTTGCTAGTGCTAGTGCATGTATAAAGACTGCCACTGCAGTATAGCCTTGGGAACATGAATGCATTTGTGGGTATGAGAATGTGTACATCCCCCACCATGCATCATACTTGTCCAAATGATATGATATATTTTGATGCAATACACCTCAAATTAATCAGTTAATATTAACTATGACACATCCTTCCCTCACTAAAATCACACTTCAAAGTAGAGCACCACAATTTTGGCTATGTTAAAATAATGAGACTCCCTTGAGTCTCTCTCTTTCTCTCTCCCAATGAGAACATGGCAATAGGTCATCTTATGTATCCAAGGAAGTTGGGTTCCATTATAAAATGTAATTTATTTAAAGAATAACATTAATGTACATTTTCCATCTATTTCAAATGTAAAATTATAGGTATTCGAGTGGTATTATTATGATATCATTATTATTGCAGACTCCATAAGCATCCATTATTTGATAGTTCTCATTCTATTTTTGTTGTTGCTGCTCATTAAAGGTTATCCCACACTTATTCATTCATTTATTGTTACAATAAGAGTCTCCAAGAATGCTTGAGGTTGGACTAATTATACAAAAACATATTGGGATTGCACAGAATGTCCTCCAGCCCTAAAATAATATAACCAGTCATATAAACACATTTAATGAAAATATCACCAGAAAAAAGGGTAATGAAGTTAATAATACCAGGTTCACAAGAAGAAACCATGTCATTGTCTCTCTAATGCTGTTCAAGACAGACACAAACAATCTCATCACTAGAGATGCTCTCCATTGAAGTCTGATAACATGTTATACTTCCTCAGATCTTAGAAGAAACATCCCAGCAAGCCATTCTGTTACTACTACCTGCAACACGCCAGAATTACTTGAGTAACATGAAGAGAAAGGCATTAGTCATCTCTAATAAATGATATCAAACAACCCTAAGATATAGTGGCCTGAATAAGACCAAGGTTTCTTACTTTCTCACAGAGCAGTCTGAATGTGAACCACCTAGACCTGGTAGAACCCACTCTACCATCTCCTACATATGACGATCAGTGTTGTCAGTATCAGAAAAAAAGAAAAAAGTGTCTTGGATGAAATAATTAATATTGAAGGAGATAACCCAGGAATCATACATATTCCTTTTGCTCACATCCAATTGGTCAGCAGTTAGATGCAAGGGAGATAAAAAAAAAAATGTCATCCCTAGCTGGGTGGGTTTTCTAGCTAAAAAGAAGAAGAGAAAGAATACTAGGAAGAAGTTATTAGTCTGTCACATTCCAACCCTCTGGTCATCCAAGTATTCGTGCACAGTCATTTTGGCACATATAAAACACACTTACACCTCCCCCAAGTCCCCTGCATATCATCCAGCTCAAAGCCCTGGGTGTGTGAGGGACACAAAGTCCTTTCCATCAGTTCTCATTGAGGCTCCTTCCATTTCAGTGACCTACAGACTAATAACACACAAGTGTTCTCTCTCTCTCTCTCTCTCTGTCTCGCACACACACACATCCTAATGGTACAGAGAGAACAAAATAGCTGCCATGTAATTCTCTATTCATAAAAGACAAAAGTGGCTCGTACATACAGCAATGGATGGTTCACAATGATGATGAATCCTGCCAGGTGGGAGTTACGGAGACTATTTGTCCTAGAAATATAAGAGTTCTCTTGATTAAAATGTGGTCCTGCTCACCAGTTCTCTTGATTGGCACTTCCTTGCCAATTATTCTCTGTGGCCAATGGCATTGCTCTCTGGATGATTTTCTCTTGTTCATCTTCATAGCGGCCCTGTAACCAAAGAAGGGATCCTTGACACATACTCCAGCTTTCCACTGGCACAGGTTCAGGGTGAGGGGAGGGGAGAACTACAGGCTTATGTAGGTCAGGCTTGTAGTTTCTTTGGCAAAAAAAAAAAAGTCCCTCAAATGTAGTAGGCTATGTGGGTTTGCCTCCACCAGGCTCTGAGTACAATAACCGTTCCTAGAGTTCTCCAGGCACAGTTCTCAAGCAGAGCGACTTCCCTGTATTTACTGACCTCTGTATTTCCTCAACTTCATGGTTACTACCCTGAGGTCATCCAAAACAGTAAGATTGGGAGGGAAAGCAATGCCCTTAATTAGATCTTTGCTACTGAGTTTCCCCCTGGTTTAGATGGGGTATCTTAACAGGTTTATGAGAACGACTTTGAATGACAGTTTTATCATCAGGATTTTGCTGCATTCTCTATCCTGTGAATCCCATATTTAACCTGCAGGTCATAGGAGGAGGGACTCTCTGAAAGGATAAACCCAGCGCCATTTGCTATTGTGGCACTATTTGCTGAGCAGGCCAATGACCTTGTTAAACATGACTGCCATTTTACTCTTCTGAGTTATGTCCCCAGGACCAGAACACTACAGGAAAATAAGAGCAAAACGTAACTAACTGCAACTCCCTGCCCCGCCCCCCGCCCCCCACCCCGAACCCCTGCCCAGCTGCAGGAAAAAGATATTTGGAGCAAACTGCAGCTTATTTAGAGCAAAACCACCAGAAATCTCCCGTGTCGCAACACCCCCAACAGCCCAGGAGCCACACGTCAGCACCCCTCCATGCTTTTATAATCCATTTATAACCCAATAAAAGCTCAAAGCCCCCACCCCGCAGGGCTGGCGCATATCTCCACATACAGCCCTTTCCCTCTCTTGGTAAAATAAAATAAAAACTTTGCTCTCTGCATTTTTCTTCTCTTTGTGAGTTCTTTCACAGCCTACAAAGTGGACCACCCTAACACTTTCTTTTAGCACAAGGCATTCCCACCCCCTGGGTCGCGGACCAATACTGATCCCTGGCCAGCTGAGAACTGGCTGCGAGCGAATCTTGGAGCCTAGCTCCTGTCTCACCTCAGCCCGACACACACACACAGTGGGAGAGTGAGAGCAGCTCACCTGAGCTCCGCCTCTCACCTGAGCTCCGCCTCCTGTCCGAACCCACCAACCCCAGCCCCTTTTTCCACAAAACCAGTTTACTGGTGCCAAAAAAGTTGGGGACTGCTGCTTCAGCAGATCTATATTCCTTTTTTTCTCAGGTTCCAAAACTGGCTAACCTTGTCTGCTTTCATCTCTCTTTGGTAAAAACCAGCAAGAAGAAGCCAATACACATCAAACATTTGAGTTTTTCCATGTAGTTCCTTAGACCAACAGACTCAGTAAGCATGTAGTCTGTCTTCCAAGTTATTATACGTTAAATTTTACCAATTATTTTTCAACAGTCTACAGTCAGCAGCATTAGAACCCACAGTATTTGTTGCCTTGCAACCCACTGCTGGACTGCT